AGACCCGCAAAACCAAAACCAAAAGACAAAACGAAACCCAGCCAAAAACCTAAAAAGCAAAACGAAAACAAATGGCAAAGGAAAACGAAAAGAAAGAAATGTTGAGCGTGGGAGTTTTTAAAATTAATATGCGTCAAAACTGTTGACACTTTTTATTACAGACAGCGAGAGAGAGATGAAGAGGAGAGTGGGGAAAGAGATGTGGAGATTTGGAGCCAATCGTTGGCACACTCATCAAAATTAAATAGGTGTTACGAATTGGGAAGTAACTCTATCTTTTTTAGTTTATTATTTATATGGAGAATTTTTATAATAAGAAACATGAAATTGCTAAAAAAATACGTTTATTCTATTGATCATTTACAATTGCAGAGCTCGTTACTTATTTCTCATTTTTAAAGTAAATTAAAGTAAAATCTTATTTAACAATTAATTTATTTAATTTTTTAATAGTTTTTAAGAATTTTCTGTATAGGTTTACTTAACCTATAAGAGTATATAAGCTTTTTTAATGAATTAAATATAAAATAGACATGCAAATCCTACAATATTTAGGTAAAATACTTAGGTAAAATACTACTTACACTTTGAAAACCTTATAGAAAATATTATATTGTTAGGAATATTTAGTCAAAAGTTTAGACAATGTATAGCTTTGAACATTTTTAGTTTTGTCTCATAACCACCTTCAATTAGTTTAAAGTTTAATATAGACTTCGAGACACATTATTCTTACTTAAAAATATAAAATTCAAATAAACATTTAAAATTCCCTATACTAATTTACCTTAACCCATACCGCCCCCTTAATTTCTCCTTGTGTCAAAGTTAACTGCCTATTTTTGGGTGGGTAACATCGTGTTGGCGTTGTTCGCGGTGATGTTACCCCCAAGATGTGGCTTTGTTGCTCGTGTTGTTTTTGGCCTGTGTTGCATTTGTGGCGGAAGTGAAGTTTTCGTTGTCTGAGTTGGTTTTGGGAGTTCAACTTGCGTGGAGTTTCTCTTTTGAAATCATTTTCATTGGCATGAAAGTTCACATTATTTAAATTAAATTGCTGCCGCCGACGTTGCCGCTTCTTCTTCGTCGTCGTTGCCTTCTCTTTAGCGACAACTGTAAAATGTATCTTTGCATCTGTGTTTTGGCGCCGCGTATTTATGTAAAAAAAAAAACCAAACAAAAAATGCGCAAAAAAAAAAAGAAAAGCCAAGAAAAGCGTTTCCTTTTGGCTCGAAAACAACGGCGACAACTGAAAAGCGTTTTTCACTCAACTCGACTAGGCGGCGGAGTGAAAGGAGCATTTTGTTGTTTTTGTTGGTGAAAACGCCAAGTGAAAAGCCATGCGATAATTTGTTGTAAAGAAAAATGAAAAATTTTCACCATTTTCAGCTTGAGTTCGTTTATTATTGCCTTTTGTTGTTGTTGCTGCGGTTGTAGCTGCCTTTATCAAATTTCATTTAAATGCTAATGAAAAGTTGCCGGAAGTATGGAAAGCGCCAAAGCGAGTCGCTGGCAAATTATATAACTTTTTCCTTTTTTTTTCTTTACATTTTTGTTGTGCGGAAAAAGTTTTCCCTCTCTCTGCTCTCTCACTCTCTCTGTCTGTAGTTTTCCCAATGAGCAGCAGCAGCTGCTGCCTAAATAACCATCAATTTCTCTGCTCCCAAAAAAAAAAAAAAAAAAAAAGAAAAGAAACGTAACGAAAACGTGTTTTCTTTTTGGCCAAAAATCCGATTTATGACATTTCTTTAACGCGTGCTGCTCGTGGTCCCTTCGAAGGAGAGGCTGTGCTCCCTGGATTTGTCATAAATTCCCATTCTTCGTGCTGCGATCCCAAGGCCCACGCTTTGCTGAAGGATCCCCCAGGAAGATTTAAAGTACACAGTACAAAATGTGGTTCCTGTTTTATAAAAATAAAGATATTATCAGCTTGAATCGGGCTAATTTCACATTAAATTTTTCAAGGTTAAATGTTATATAATAAAAGATCAAAATATTATTTTAAAATCTAAGTTATATTGTTAAAAAAAAAAAGAATTATAGAAACTAACCAAAATTAGCCTGAATCTTTTATCAAAAATATATAAAAGGTGTTGTTTCTGCGTACAAATACCTCTATATTGGAATTCCTTGATCCGTGACCAACTGGCTTCGTTGCATTCCAGCTGTCCCTCATCCTTCTCCGATAAACTATATGGGTCAGTGTGTGTGTGGGTTCACCGTTCTGCAGCAGAACTAATGGTGGTCTTCTCCGGTGGCTAAGTAAGCAGAGCTAATGGCATGACTCTAGAAAATGCCTGGGCAAAAAAAAGGGCATTAATGCCGCGGTGTGTTTGCCAAACAATTCAAATTTATTTACGGAGGGAACTCTTTAAATATAGAGACACCATAGGTGGGTCTGTATAATATATAGAAAGGTGGATTTCTTGTATTATAATTCAAGGGGAATAGTCTAGAGTCTAGACAAAGCTGTGTCTGTGTTTACTAAATATATTTATATACACTTTCAGGGCAATGTTTCATATTTATAAGGGAAAAATAGGATATGATTTATAAAGAGAGTGTGAAATATTTCTTTAAGTAACTACTTATACGCTTTGTTTTATACTTTTTTAATTCTTAGGATACTCAGCCAATTGTATAGTTTCTTGAGTTAATTTACTGATTTTATTCCTAAATTTTCTGTCTCAAGGTTAGTTATCCCAGCTCCTAGTGTTCTTCTTGGTTGAGTCAGAGTCACCTTTACCTTCCTTAATTCGATTACAAAGTTCGGACTGAGCTCGGGGCTTTCGAAGTTTAGCCTTCTTCCTCCTCTATTCTCCTCCAACAATTCTCCTTCTTCTGTTCTGTAATTTTTGTCATTTTGCCTTGGTTTGAGGCGCCAAACAAATGATTTTCAATGTCATAACAAAACAAACTCATTTTTTTTCGACTCTGGCCCTTGGCTGGGCCAGGGAGAGGAGAGGTGGTGGTGTTTGCGCCTCAATGCCAAATCAATGTCATTAACATTAAGGCACACTCACTAAAAATTGAATAAAGCGTCTAAGCACACAGCACAGCTCAGCTCGGCTCGGCTCGACGGCGCGCAGCGTGGTTTTTTCGGTGTTTCGGTGTTCGGTTTACGGCTTATGGCTTACTACGGTTTGTTCACCTTGACGAGCTGCGTCAACCTTTTGATGGCTAACGCACACACACACATACAGTCATACGCGTGCGGGCCCATTGAAGGTCCTTCAGCTGGATTTTGATGATGGCCATCAAAATCGCCAGAGAGGGAGAGCTGCGAGAGCTGAGGCTGCAACTGAACTGAGGTAGTGAAAACCGAGAACTGAACACTGAAAATGGGAAGCGGAAAACGGTTAGCACCTTGAAAATCTCAACCTTGCTGAGCTGAGAGACAGCAGTAGCCTTGCTTAGATTTTTCCAACATTTCCTATGCTTAATTGTGCACTGGCAGGAAAAGTCATAAGAGATCGGTTTAGGATTAGCTTTAGAAAAGTATTCTTTTTTGGGAAAAAATGTTACAAGGAAAATATAATTGTATTTAGTTATAAACTACTAACCACAAAATGCTAAAAGAAATATATAAATTTATTTAGTTAATAATTTAAAGTTCTTTCCAAACTTTTTTTTAAAGAAGTTTCTTGGCTTGAAAATCTGAGTAAATTTTTTATATATTTTAAACATGGAAATAAATACGACTAATAAGTTTTCCGACTTTAGTTCATTTACTTTCCTATAATAATATTTAAATATTAAATAAATATTTTATTATTTATAATTTTGTAATATTTGTCTCCCTGTGTAATAATCGCAGCTTCCTCAGTCATTTACTGTCTTTTCCATCTGCATCTGCGCACTGAGACAAAAAAAAAAAGAAAAGAACACACGGGAATAGCAGATTGTTATTGTTGCTATTGTGCGTCAGAGATCCTTCTGCCATCTTCCCTTCCCTCTCCTCCTCTCTGCTCTCCTGCATGTTTTGCACCTTTCCTAATATGAGCAACGCGTACAACATCATCCACATCCTCCTCATCCACACTCACCTTCGCCCTCAACCGCCGCCGACTGACCCATTGTTTGTCAATTTTCCACTCCTGGCTACATTTCCTTGGGTCCATTGTTTGCCTCGTCATCTGCAGGATTTGTTGGATTTTCAACTCCTCTGCCTGTCGTGATTTTTCCAATTTTCCCAGTTCCATCAGTCAGTTTTCCTTTGCTGCTCCTGCGCAACGGTTGTGTTGTGTGTTTTTTCTTGTGATATTTATTCCGTCTTGAGAATTACTTCTTCGTGCAAAAAAAGCTTCAAAAGCTAAAGCTTCGTTTTATCTCTGTTTGATCTCTCTATTCTCTGGTGATTCCGGGATTCTTCGGAATTACTGTAAAAACTACATAATCGGTCTTCGCCTTTGCTCCATTTTTCGGAAATTATGAACGCCACACATTTTGGCGCACTTCGCTTAATGTCGTCCAGTCGTTCGTGTCGTCTCGTTCAAAGTTTTTATTAACAAAATAATATTGAAATATTTTATTTTGAGCAAACAATTTAGTCTGTGTTTTATTCTGTGTTATATTTTGTGTGTGGTTTTTCAAACGGGCGGCAAGCTGGAGAACTCTCTGCTTTTGAAGCTGCTCAATCTTTTGGCCCGGCACTCAAATTCCGATAGCAATTTCGTGAAAGTTGAATTCGAGCGCAGCATCATGGATCTAATACAAGAGCCAAGGTGACCACAAAAGTCTTGAATTTTAAATGAAATGCTGTAATAAAAATGATTAAACAAGGTGGTGAAAAAATAAATATATTCAAGATAACCTTCAAATTTGGTCTGATGAAAAGCTGTGAACTTATAGGAACTTTATTCCTAAGAATGTAGTAAATACCTGAAACAAACCTTTATATCTTTATAAATAATTATTATATATTTTTTGATAAGTTTTGCAATAGTTTTCTCTATTATATCTCCAACTAACCCCTTGATTTTCCTCTATTTAAATCCTTTCAGATTGCCGGTGAACGAATGTCAGGCAAGCCAAACAGCTAGAGTCACCTCGAACCTGCACGCATCCAGTAGTACGATGGCGGTTAGCCGCGTTCCCTCGCCGCCCTTGCCGGAAGTTAATACGCCAGTCGCCGAGAACTGGTGCTATACGCAGGTAAGTCCTAGTCCCTCCCAAAACCAAAAACCCGACTTACAGAGCGGGGATTATATTACCTCCACATCCTCCGATGTTTGGTTTTTGCATTCCTATGGATTTGCGACCGGCTGAGCCAACTGAACCGATCGGATTTCACAAATTTGTTGTTGTAAATGCACTTCCGCTCAGAGAGAAAGAGAGAGGTGCTCAGGTACAGGTGATGTTGGCTCAGGTGGGCGAAATCCGAGAACTTTGTTACAATATTTACAGGGGATCTTTATTTTCTACCCCAAACTCCATTAACCCCTGTTTTCCTTTGTTGTTTATTTGTTTCTAAACAGGTCAAAGTGGTTAAATTTAGTTATATGTGGACCATAAATAACTTTAGTTTTTGTCGGGAGGAAATGGGTGAAGTACTCAAATCGTCCACATTCTCAGCCGGTGCTAATGACAAACTGAAATGGTGAGTAAATTTAAACTAAACGAGATTTAAATAACTTACTAAATGGTAATATTGTCTACTTTAGGTGTTTACGGGTCAATCCCAAGGGTCTCGACGAGGAGAGCAAGGATTACCTGTCGTTATACCTACTGTTAGTGTCGTGTAATAAATCCGAAGTGAGAGCCAAGTTCAAATTTTCCATACTGAATGCCAAGCGTGAGGAGACCAAAGCCATGGAATCCCAAAGGTAAGAATAAGATCTCAATATTTTCCCCAAAAATCTGTATTAAAATGTATTCTCTATTTCAGAGCTTACCGCTTTGTGCAGGGCAAGGATTGGGGCTTTAAGAAGTTCATCCGGCGCGACTTCCTGCTGGACGAGGCTAACGGCCTACTGCCAGAGGATAAGCTAACAATTTTCTGCGAAGTCAGCGTTGTGGCGGACAGCGTTAATATCTCCGGACAATCCAACATCGTGCAGTTCAAAGTGCCCGAATGCAAGCTATCCGAGGATCTCGGCAATCTCTTTGACAACGAGAAGTTTAGCGACGTCACGCTCTCTGTGGGCGGTAGGGAGTTCCAGGCGCACAAGGCCATACTGGCAGGTAAGAATCTTACTTTCCTCTTGTACTTTGCAAACTTAAATTAACTTTAAAAATTATTTTTATAACAGCGCGCAGCGATGTCTTTGCGGCCATGTTTGAGCATGAGATGGAGGAGCGAAAGCTGAATCGTGTCGCCATAACCGATGTGGATCATGAGGTTCTTAAAGAAATGCTGCGATTCATATACACGGGCAAAGCGCCCAATTTAGAAAAAATGGCTGATGATCTCCTAGCGGCTGCTGATAAGGTAAAATTCAACCTAAATTTCTCTTCCCAAATAGCAAAAAAATAATAAAATATTTGATTTATTTTTGGCAGTATGCACTCGAAAAGCTGAAAGTGATGTGCGAGGAGGCGCTGTGCGTCAATCTCTCTGTAGAAACAGCAGCCGAAACACTAATATTAGCTGATCTCCATAGTGCGGATCAATTGAAAGCACAAACGATAGATTTCATAAATACGTAAGTTTTTTTTAATACAACTTATTTATAGTTCAAGTTAAAAATCATTCTTTTCCCCTCTTACAGTCATGCCACCGATGTGATGGAAACCTCTGGCTGGCAAAATATGATCACAACACATTCACATTTGATAGCGGAGGCATTTCGTGCGCTCGCAACACAACAAATCCCACCAATTGGACCACCAAGGAAACGCGTGAAAATGAGCTGAAACAACAATGCAACAACAGCAACACCAACAACAAACCGTACACCAACAACAATCAACAACAACAACAACAGCAACCGCAAGAACACCAACAACAATACCAACAATCGTTTCAACAACAACTGTAATGGAAATGAAAACAACTTGATTGTGAAATATTTGATCGATCGATTGGCGGTTAACCTCAAGAAAGCATCATACGGCAATACTAGAACAACCACAATAATAAATTTTATCAACAACAACAACTACAAATACCACTACGACAACACCAACAACTACTACAACAAAAACAAAAGCAGCAGGAAGATAGTGTATGATGATGAGAATCAGAGCAAGGAGTACCGTTTATTGTTTCGATTTCGAGTAATTTAATTCATTTTGCTAAAACAAAACACTTGAGTTTAATTGTATTTTATTTGTTGATTTAATATTTACCTATGATTAATATGTTTACGAGTAATAATTATTAATTAATTCTAATCTTAAGTCCCAAAAGCAGCAATTAAAAGTAATAAAAAAAAAACAAAGTAATAAGAAGAGAATACCAACAACAAAAAAAAAGAGCATGAAAAACAAAAACGGAACATTTAAAGTAAATATAAATTAAATTTAAAATAAAAAAAAACGAAGGCAAGAAAACGCGATAAAAAAAGAAAAGAAAACAGCAAAAAATAAAAAAATTCACTGAGAAAGCAGCGTCACTATTATTATTATTATTATAATTATAACGATTATGTTTACCGATTACTGCGTATAATTACAAAGCGTACACTTTGATTGTGATGTATATTCGATGAGTAACGAGTAACGAGTAATGAGTAACGAGTATATGAGTAATGCATAATGATACGGATATGATAATGAAGTTGATATATGTAAAACTCGGAACAATTTTCAATGCATTCAAGGTTTTATTGCACCCGCCCACCAATCCACTTCCACTTTACCTCTTTTGTTTCGAATGAGGAGTGTGCTGCCCCCATTAAATGTATAAAAATTATTGTTATTTACCAAAAGTTCTCAATTCTACCACCGCCTAAGCAACAAATTTAAGCGCGCACACTCTTCAGAGCTCCTTTTCCCAATACAAAATTTTAAATGCCTTTTTTTTTAAACGTTCATTTTAAAATCACTTCTTAGGCTTTCTCGCATATTGTTTCTCTTTTCTTTTTTCTTAAGTATTTAAAAACACCTGCAACTTGTTTCTCTTTGTTTAAGCGCAAAAGTAATTAATTTGTTGTACAAAACTCTAAAAAAAAACAAACAAAACATTGTCGAAATAAAAGCAAACAGTAGCAATTTGTGTATAGTAAGCAGATAAAAATTGAAAAAAAAACCACAAACAATATTGCATCAATTCATTTCTGCTAAGGGGATACTCTCTCTGGGGGTGGTTTCTCTTCTCTCTGATTGATTCAGAAAATTGCGAAAGAGTACGAGTAAAGTAAACGTGATAACAATATTTATCTAACTATTAAATAAATAAAGCGTAGACGAAGGTGTAGAAGAGCTGACGATGACATTTTTATATGCTAAAACGGCAGATCGTCTAAGGAGTTTGACAGAGCAAAAAACTTCAGGTATTCAGGAAAGGGTAAAATATAATTACATACAATAGGAGCAACTAAGAACAATATTTCCATATTCTATGTGTACTTCCGATTGACTTTTGCAAGGGGATTTGCCATCCGAAAAGAAAGTGTAAATAAATTAGCCTTAGCCTTAGTCGCAGCATCAGTTCTATTTTCAATTTAACCAACTTGCTACGGTTACAAGTCCAAATGCTTTAAATCAGTGTATGTGCGATGAGTGTATAGTAATCTAGGTAACCAATCAACATTAGCCTTTGAATAGGATGGGGTAGAGTACGGACGGGAGCGAGTTTTATGTTTTGTGGCATGCTTTGTTAGCTATTTATTATAGTTTGACTACGTCGTCGAATCCTGAAGCTATGGGAGAGCAGAGCTAATGAATAATAGGTGACCGAATAGAACTATAATAATTTACAAAATCAGTTTGGTTGAGTGGGGATTATAGTAATATATTAGTATTTACTATAAATATCGTAAACTTTGATATATGGTAATTTTAATTATCGAACAATATCGGATTTAACTTTAAACAAGAAAGAAAGCTAACTTTGGCCAGCCAAAGTTTGTATACCCTTGCAGGTAACAATTAAAATATATTATAACTAAGCCAAAAATGCATTAATTTCGATTCGGAAAGCATTTTTGTGTTAGTTTTTATTAATTTAAAAAAACTGCATACCAAATTTAAAATTTTAAGAAATCTAAATTTTTGGCCATTTTTACTAATTTTAATGATGTAACCCCTTATCAAATTTCGCAAAAATGGCCAAAAAATCGATTTCTTCCGGACACGTCTAGAAAGATTCCCATGTTAATGCTGATCAAGAATATATGTGGTTTATGGGGTCGGAAATGATTCCTTGACTTAGAAAAATATTATTTTGTATTATAAAATCGGATTTTTTATATTAAAAAACTTCTTGATTTTATTTTAAATTAAAAATATCATAACTCGGCCAAAAGAACATTAATTTTAAATCGGAAAACTGTTCTGTGCAAGATTTTCTACAGTTAATAAATCCGCATACTTCATTTAAAAATTTAAAATTTTGCAAAAATGGCCAAAAATCGATTTCTTTCTGACATATCTAGAAAGATTCCCCTGTTGATGCTGATCAAGAATATATATACTTTATAGGGTCGGAAACGTCTCCTTCACTGCGTTGCAAACTTCTGACGGAAATTATAACACCCTGCAAGGGTCAATATTTAATTGACCTTAAAGAAAGTACCGGTATACGAATAATTTATGGTTATTTGCAATATAGGTGCCATACATCTATATTCCCTTTGATATTTTGGAGAGATATTACCATTAAATGCGATATTTTTCAAATGCGATTTTTTCGATATGATATAAAGCTCGATAATTTTGTGGATTATAGTCGATTTTTTCTCTCAATATATGTACATATTCTCTACCACTAAGGACATTATTCATAGTTATACATTGCAAGCTCTGCTTCTCCATAACTTGGGAATATTTTGCTTTTTTAAGTAGCTCTCGGCTCGCAATTTGGGGGTGAAAATATGTTTCGGGGAAGGCAACATCTAGCGATCTACAAATGTGTATCATCTAGTGAACCGACAAACAACTTTTTATGCATGCCAACAATCTAAATGTGTAGAAAAATGAGTAAAAGATTACAATGAGAACGAAAATCTACAGCAACACACACTCGACACACACACCCATTTTTAAAAAGCGAAAAATTGTAATTGTATTTAAACGAGATATTAGATAATAAATTAATATGTTCTAAAATTACTGCTCGACGGACCTCTATTTCTTGTCCTTTTGCTCCTCGAGGAACTGCTGCAGCAGGCCGCCATCAATGGGAATGGTTAGTTGCTCGGAGCCGTCCACACTCCGCTTGGACTTGACCAGTTTGTGGTCCAGGAACTCGGTTAGCTGGGCGCGCAGAGCTAGATCAGAGCTGACCAAGAAGGCCTCGCGGCAGCTGGAGTACAGATCCCTGAACGGCATGCCCTGGTATGTGGCATTGCCCTTGTTCTTCAGCTGATACTTGACAATCAGCATGTAAATGCCTCGCGAGTTGGTGGTCAGCGAGGAGAAGACGCTGCGCATTGAGGAGAGGGCCAGTTCGCCCGAATTTTGCACCAAAAGGGAGTTCTCAAAGGCGGTCTCATCGGTATAAGGCAGCATAGTGGTGCAGTCCCACCAGGAGAAGTTGAAGCTGCTCAGTTTGCCCTGATCCCACACTGGAAAGAGGCGAGGGATAAGGATTAGAACTCCATTAAAGACTCAAAATACTCACGCAATGGTGTATTGATATGATCAATGGAGGCCAGCAGATGTATGTTGGGCACTCGCGCCAGTCGGGACAGAATGGCCTGGGCCTTCACATTGCGCAGCATAGCTCCATCCAAATTGTGGACAATCAGAAAGAGATGCGTCTCCGGTATTAGGGAAAACTCCTCCTCGATCATATCCACTGCCTCGTGCGGATTTGCTGGACTAATTCCCGCATCCAAAATCTCGCTTGTGATGCTGTCCAGCACATCCTTCAGAGTCAGACTGGGAAAGAAGCCGTTTATCACCAGGACCGTCTGTTTGCCCAACACCTCGCGGTGAAAGGCCTGCAGCAGCTGCCGCTTGGAGCCCAGTCCATAGAGCAATATATTGAAGCCCTCGTTGAGGATGCACATCCACTTGGGAAAGTACGAGCGATACTCCTCCATAATGGCATTGATCGAGGTCTCGTGCTCCGCCGACAGCTTCATTTCCGACAGCAAGCTAAACAGGCGATCGGCGGCCAGACGGGGATTCTTAAGGCGGTCCAAAGTGTGATCCGAGGTGAGGATCTTGGTGCTGGCATGCGAATGGAAGTAACCATCGCTCTCGGGTACAAACTCATTGGACTTTTTGGCCCGTGCCGTTTGCCGGAGTCGGGCTGCCGACGGAGTTTTGGGCAGAATGGGAACCACAATGGCACGCCGCGTTTTGCATGGCGTCTTGGGCTCATCATCGTCGGCGGCGTCATTCTCTGAGGAGGAACCGCTGCTGCTACTGCTGCTCAGGGATTCCTCGCCACTTGGTCGGTAGTCGCTCTCGTCGCCGGAAAAATCCTCGTCGCCAGAGTCGGCCACTATTTTGGCAATCTCTGGAAAGGTAAAGAAAAGTCAGTTATGACATCTTAAAGAGGCTAATGACTACCCACGATTCTTGACACGGTTGCGCACATGGGAGGGCGTCTTTGGCTGATCCGCGGCGGATCCCTTGCGCTTGGTATCCGGCGTCTTGACGCCCAGTCGTGGGGTCTTCGGGGTCTTGGGCGTGCGGGGCGTGGCATTGAGGGCGGCCAGGGCCATGGCATCTCGCTTTTTGGGCGTATTGAAGCCAAACAGGCTGCTCCCGGCCACATTGTACTCGGAGTGGATGAGATTAAGATCTTTGGACGTGGGTTTGGCAGTGCTTTTCACTTCTTCTTGGTCCTCCTCCTCCTCCACCTGAGCCTGAACCACTTTGAAGTTATCGTCACTCTCTATATCCACATCCTGGCTCTCATCGTCCGAGACCTCCACATAGTTAACCACCACGTGCTCCGGCTGCCGGCTTCCATTCTCCCGCTGGTAGGCCTGGTACTTCTTGGTGGGACTCGGCCGGCGAGTGGAGCGACGAGTGCTCCGTGTGGAGCTCGCCCCAGTTTCCGCATCCCCGACTATGGCCGTGTCCAGGTCCGCGGATTCTTCCTCCGAGTTTGTGAGGTTTTCGATCGACTTCAGGCTCTGCTTGCGCGGGGTCTTGTAGCTGCCGCTCATCTTGCCAATGAGCTCGATTTCGCAATTTCTAAAGTTTGTAAACAAAATCTGCTCAAAATTCGACCAGGGATGACCAGTTCGATGCCAGAAGAGGCGGGATTTGTCGATTAATTTGATAGTTCGATAATTTAAATCAGATGTGGTTCGAGTATCAGGTGTGGTTCGGATATCAGATGTTTTTCATTTTTTCGATATCGATATATTATCGAGTCTGCCCAGACGCCGCAAAAGCGGAAATGCTCTGGATCTTTTTAGTTTGAAACCAAAATTTTCATTTGGTAACACTGAATCTTAAAAACCTATAAATACGAGTGAAACAGCGCATTCGAAAAAAAAATTCAACAGCAAAACACTCGCGGAGCAACTTGTAGACGGGAAACCCGGAAAAATCAAAAATCGTTCGTTGGCCGGCTATAACTTTGTTGAAAAAGGAGCGAATGTGCAATAAACAAGTGCGTCCTGATTAGTGTTATTTCGCAATTGTTTTAAAGTGTCTCGAAAAACCGAATGAGATAAATACAGTTGAATTGCGCGCCATGTGTGGATTCTTGTGCCAGGAATAAATAAAGATTCAATTAAAAAGTGTTCGAAAAACAACGGTTTCTGATATTTGTTGTTGTCGTTGTCTTTGCTCGAAAGAACCGTTGAACGGTTCCTACGGAGCAGCAGACCAAAGCGGAATCGACCAAAACAAAGTGCATGCTTAAAACAAACAGTTTTCGAAGATGTTCGAACTGGAGGATTACTCGAGCGGCATTCACGAGGGCTTCTTCAGCAAATATGCGGTGAGTATATGGCGTTTAATATATAGTACACCGGATAGCGGGGGGCAACAGCTTATTTTGCACACAATTTGCCGGCCGGCCGCGCGCACACATGCTCAATTTACACATACACACACACACACGGGCGCGCAAGTTGTCGGCAAAATTCAAAATTTAACGTTCGTTTCGCGTCGACAAAGCAGCTCTCGCGTTCTCTTTTCCTAGTATTTCCCCCAGGTCCCCACTCTCCACTCGCAGCACTCTCCACTGCCTCCCCAACCGTTCCCAGTGCGGCGAAACTTTGGTTCCACTCGCCATCTCGCTCGCCCCTTTGCTGACTGATTGCCCCTCTCGCTCACACCAGAGCTTTGTTGTTGACTCGGCGCTACATCGTCGCCGCGTTTAACGTGCAATTTTGAATTTCAACTTCGCCGCACCGGGGCCTGGTGGCAGTGTGTGAGTGTGTCTGTGTGTTTACTTTTGATCGTTAAGCTTTGAAAATCGTCTTTTCGCTTCTGCCGTTTCCCTTTTCGCCCAACGGACGGATGATTAATTACAACCGGAACAGCCGACGATAATAAATGATTGGGCTGGAAGTTCTATGCAGAACGAAAGTACTTCCTCATCTTCGTTCGGCTGCGGGCTCGGGTTATTAACTTGGCTAGCTGGAGGCTCGGCGGCTGTTAATGTTTAGCCGGCTGTTAATCGCCTGTAGTTTGTACTAAATCGAAATCGAACACCAGCCCGGACTTTAATTCACTTTTTCGCAACTGTTTTGGCTTAATTTTAATTTCTTCCCCCCTCAAACACGAAGAGTTTCTTTTGTTGTAGTCATGCGCAATTTACTTAACTTATTTATTGTTTTGCACCTACAGCTGGGGTTAAATTAGTAGAGCAAACTGAAATTATTTGCACTGAAATACTATTGTTTTAAGGAATTCGTGGAAAAGTACATAAAACTCGAAGTATCAATCCCCCAGAGTATAATGAATACATTTTGCTACAATTATAAGGCAAACGTCAAGGGAATTGCCTTATCTACATAAGAAAACAAACCTAAGAAATGTTAATAGAATTTCATATAAAAATATAACATTTTCTTTTCAATTTCATTTTCACTGAATTCAATTGGTTCATTTAGAAACTGGGACTTCCTAATGAAGATGCTCGACTGTAGTGCTATTATCTTGTCCCCAACTGTGGACATTTGTACTCGTCTGTGTCTCTCCGCTGTTGTAGTTGTTGCTCGCCGAGTTTTCGTCTTGGGGCCTTCTTCATGGCTTTTGCGTTTTAAACTTTTTGAAGGCCAAGCGTTCACCTCGAACCTTTTGGCTTTTAGCTGTTTTAGCCGCCGCAGCAACCAAAAGTGGTTAATGATTTTCGCCAAGGAGTGGCGACTAAATTGTATAGTTACAGTTTAAAATCATCCTTTTGCTACATGAAAGATTAGGTAGTAAATGACCTCCAGCAAAGTGGGCGGAATTTGGGAACTTCAATGAAAAACCTTAAGAGTAACGGACTTTTGAAGCATGTGCGCCTGTTAAGTGCAACATGCAAAACTCCACACACACAAACGCAGCACCCGTACTTCCAGGCGCCACAAGTGTGTGCGAATAGTATCCAAGTGTGCGTGTGAGAAGGGGAACAAAGAAAAGCAAACAAAATAAAAAGTGCTCAAAGCGAAATGAACGTTTTATCTTGCTGCTTTTTGCTGTTCAGTAAGGTTGCGAGTGTATGAGTGAGGAGGAGGCAAAGGCAAAACAAAAGAAAAAGCAACAGTCCGATTCCCACATCAAAAGCTTTCTCACACGCTCTTCCTCGCGCCTTCTCACTCGCTCCCTCTCTGTCGCACCATTCTCTTCTTTTTCTCTTATGTTTCGGCAACCTTTGTTGCGGCAACACTGGGCAACAGAAGGAAAAAGACAAAAATCAAAGCAAAGCTAAAAGGCAAAAAGCCAACCAAGAACAAAACTTCAAAGTTCAACGCGCTTTTCATGGGGGTTTTTTTTAGTGGGGACTGGGAATACCTACCCCAAAATGCACACTCAGACGTATGCAGTGCGGGTGGCAGGAAAGCCAGAGCGAGAGAGGAGGACACAGACACTTGTCTGCCAGTTATGAGCGCCCAGCTGTATGCCGCATAGATTTTCTCACGGCCCGAACACACAACCACACAAACTGCCAAAAACCGACAAACAGATTTAACCCCCTGTCTCAGCCCACCGATGGGAGGCTGCATTTGGAAATTTGGGAAAACTTTAGAAGTTAAACAAACAAAAGAAGACACTTTTAAAACTGTTTATGATGGAGAATATTGAATTTGAGGCTTAAATTTAATAGAATAAATTCTAAAAAATCTGAAATTAAACAAGATAAATATTTATTCGAGGCTGATAATAAAGTTATATTACTACCTCTCATCTCCATAATTTACTTTTGAAAACCCAACTAATTAGCACAAAAAAACCCTCACGAGCATCTGGTTAGGGGCAAAACTTTCCCAACGAGAGCCAGAGATCAGAAATGGATTTCCAGGCTAAATATAAACTTTTGGTTAATTGTTGATTTCTTAAAACAGATGCACACTTAATGAATGAAATAACCCAAGAAACGCGGCCATACTTCGCGCTAACCGAGAGATTTAAAAGCGATTTACAAGGATATACCTTTTTCTTAAACCATACCTACATCTGTAGATGTGTGAGTGTGGCTCGGATTTAAATCTTGGCCAGGCTCAGCTCAGGCAACCGACTTTTATTGCACCATAAAGTAATTTACAAATGGGCGCTCATGACCTCAAGGAAGATTTGTGCCCAGGAAATTGTGCCGTCGTCTACCTGAGGTGTTCCTCCTCCCTTTATTTGCCATCTCCTCTTATTTTTTTTTCTTTTCTTTTTTTGTGTGTCATCTCATCAGAGCGATTCCTGAGGTGAAAGAAGAGAGTGCTGTGAAAGGCAACAAAAGGGCAAGAAGCAGATGCAAGAAATGCAGGAAATGCGGAAAACATTGAACAATTGGGCAACCCAACGAGCGAGTGACGAATCCTGCCGAGGAAAGACCCAAAAAAAACCCCTCTGCTGTGCTGCCTTGTGCTCCGTGGTTGGTTGCACAACTTAAAAAGGTCAATATGCAGCTGCAACTGAGCAGCCCAGTGCACAGCTCTCTTCAGAGGGGGTAAAAAACAGGAGGGGGGCTCTCTAGGCCTTGTCGAAGTTTTACTGACAACTTTTGCACTTTCCCTTAATCCCCCCCGACCTCCACAGAGAGGAGCTTGCTTGCTTGCTGCTAGTTTTGTTCGCCTGTTCAATGCATTTTTATTTCGGCATATTTTTTCCAGAATTTTTTCCAAGGGGGGCAAAAAGAAATAAATAAAAATTAAAGTAAAAAGAAGGGGCGGAGAAAGGGGAGGCAGTCTTAAAACCTGCCACCTTGATGTGCATTCTCTGGTGCAGGACTTTGACTACACATTCTGAGCGCCGCATTGAAAGCCGGTTGATTTATTAGGGCTCTGGGTTTTATTAACCCTTCACCGGCTGCGTGTAGCTTTTCCTTGTTCCCCTTCGGAACGAGGAGAAGTGTGAAAAATGGAAATGACTTGGCAACACCGGAGGAAACCCAGGCTGTAAACTAATTAGAGCCAGGAAGTTCGCTTTCCGTTGGCAAATGCAATGCAAAACAGTTTGCAATTCTAGAATTAAAACTAAAGTAGAGACTACAGGAGTAGCTACTGCAACAAACACAGTGGTCTATCGATAAAAAATGACTAATTTTTGGTCTAAGAAAAACTTCAATTTGAGTTTAATTTAAAGAAATAATAAAATCTTTTAACAAAGCAGTTAATAAACTTGTTCTATTTAGTATTTACATATTTCCCTATTACGTTTAGTTGGAAAATAATATATTTTGAACCCTTGTGGTTGGTTGGTTTTTCAATTAGTTCCATTCTTCGATCACTTACTGTACCGCCAGCCACGAAACATAACGGAGAGGAACTCTAGAGACTTAACAACCCCTGCTGGCTGGAGTTGCAGCTGCCTGAGCTGAGCCCTCTTCCTCTACCTCGTGCCCATTCTCTTCCAATTTCAACTGGAAACTCGCAACTCAACAGAGGGCACACCGAAAGGTTATCACACAGACACAACAGCACACATACACACACTCATGCTGAGCTGGGGAGGGTGAAGGGAACCCGGCTGGAGTTGGACAGGAGAATAGGAAAAACTGAGGGAAAGAGCTATATAATGTATGTGTAGAGCTAGAGCGAAACCCTCAATCATTCCATCACTCCCATAATGGAGCGGTCTACGGGCCAGAGCAATATCATATCATCTGTCGTCCTATTTCGATTGTAATGCTCAATTAATGGCTGCGGGGGTGGAAGCGGAAGATCTGAAGTGGGGGGGTTAACTGCTGGCAAGGGCATAGGGTTAAAGGGTTGCCGTAATTGCCAGCAGAAAAAGGTTCTGCATAATTCAGCATGAAATCTGTATGAAATTGGTGAATCATATTCCGATTGGGGTAGATTATGGGCAAATGGTGGAGAGTTTTCGATGAGATGTCTGCTATAAGCAGATAATCGGGATAAAAATTCACTAAACAAATTGGGAAATTTCGTTTTGATTAGGTCTCGAAGGATTTCGGAAATTATAATAGTCTAGACTTTAGTACAAAGCATTATAGGTAGTAAGAAAACCCCTTAAACAAAATAAAAACAATAAGTATAGGTCATGTATATTATGAATTTGGCAGATGCAATTTTATACACGTTCTTAGGGGTTCATGCTTGAGTAAATATCTTAAGACTCTAGTTGTTTCTATCAAAACATTTATAAGTATTATATTTGCAGCTTGTTCCTTCGCATTCTCCGATTTTCGGATCCTTTTTCAATGACTCCTTAAACACTGAGTCAATACAAATCGATTGATAAACGAAGAAACTGCTGAGATGGACCAGCTGCTGCTGCAGCTACTTTATTTCCAGCTGAAGATTGCCAGCTGCTGTCCTGTTTCTTCTGGCTCCCTGACTTTAGTCTTCCGAGGTTGCCCTTTCTCGGTTGGGTTGCATGTTGCATGCATTGGTGGCTGCATTCGAAACGCAACAATTACACACTCTCGGATTCGAACGAACACTGGCTGACTCTCCTGGGTCTTGGACTCTTTCAGCCCTGTCTGCTTATCGCACAAACACCTGCCGTGAGGTAATTCGATTGTGTTTTGGCCAGGATGCGCCATATGGAGGCAGCGTTGCAAGGTGTGTGGACTCCGTTGGGGAGTATCTCTACAATGCAATTGCGTAAATCCCTTTTTGATTCGAAAGGAGACAACAGTCAGGAAAATAATTATGAAATAGAGTAGAGATTTTCAAGACCCTTTCTATAATTTTAGGAACTATAATCTCCTTTTCGATTGAGAATCAATTTAACTTAATATCTTTAAAATTTTTCAATTTATCTAAATAAAAATTCCTAGAAAAATCTAGGGAGCTGAATGGTATTTCAAGAAAAATTCTATACAATCATGCAACATGATTCCTTTTAAGAAATATAATAATCAGAATGAAAGGATTACCTTTTCTACTTTTTTAAAAATGTTAAATAATTAAAAAGGAAATTTGAGTTTTACAACTTGACAGATGAGTTCGATTTCCCTTAGTGTATGGGCAATTGCCTGATGAAAAAAAGTGGATAGAAAAGTGGCCATGGCGAGGAAGGAGACACTTGAATGGCACTTGAAATTCTGAACTGACACAAAACTCTCGGATCCCCCAACATCCTGCTCTTACCCCTCCTACCTCACCCCTTTTAGTCTCCCGTACATCCCGTTTATATTGCCGCAGACAGACAAATGGGAAGTAGAAGGGGGGGACAGAGATAAAGGTGCGTTCTTTTTTGGGGATTCCCCCATCCTCCCACAATCAACTCACTCTGTCCCTCTCTTGCCACATTGCGAACAGGCACAGCCTGCCTGCACCAATTTATGATATCCTGCTAAATTATGCAACTTATCATTCTCGTGTGGCGGCGCACTCTATATCATTCGTATATCCTTTTGTATCCTTGTATATCCCTGTATCCCAGTGTGTATGCTCTTGTCTATTGATTTTTCGGCGTCGCCTCGCCGCATAATAAAAACATGCAAAGGTGGGGTCACAGGATGACCCCCACTTCGGGGTCAGGTCAGTGTTTTGCGCTTTGTGGCTCCGCTTCAAGGACACCGTGACATTGGGAAGCTCGCTCTCTTATTCGTCCCGAACGGCCTACTACTATTTCTGCTGCCTACTACACTTTTTGCACAGTTGCGGCAAGAAACAAAGTCCACAGCAGAAACGGCGAATATAGCGAAAAGCAAAAGTGCCCACAGTTTGCCGTTTGTTGTTGTTGCTGCCTTCTGCTTCGTTTTTCTGTTCTCACACATACTCGCCGCATGTTTTGTTGCCTACTGTACGCGCAACAGAGGTCGTGGCAACAACTTCGCCTCTGTGGCAGCTCTGTTATGTGAGTTCTATGTTTTGCTACCTCTCTCTTGCTCTCACACGCCCTGTTCTGTTTTCGCCGCGCGCGCACACGTAGAGCGAAAGAGAGGGTAAATATACAGACGAGCGAGCGAAGTTTCCCTGTTTTCTGTTTTTGTACGGCTTTAATTCCTTTTTTCCCTCGCCATGTATTTTAGATATACGTTTTGTATGTGTGTATGTATTCCCCTTTGGCTGTATTTTTCTTTTTCTGTTAATAACATTTAACAGAGAGCTGGCAACATGTTTCAGCAACATTCTATCCACTGGTGGTTGTTTGCATTTCGTATTCCCCTCAGGAAACTGCAAAAAATACTGGGCTCGTTCAGCGAATCTGTGTGTGTGATCTGCAAGTAAATCTAATTCGGAGACTGGGACCACGACATGAGTCACTTCTTTGAGGGGAGTAAGCGCCACCCCACTCCTGGCTACAGTCTACAGTTTGCACTCACAGCCGCGGTCTCCAGTTCGAACCTCATTTATAATGCAAGGCGCAAATCGCGAATCGCGACTGCGATCCCGATCCCGATCCCCTCGATTATTGCATAAAACTTTCAATTTTTTTGATATCCGGTTTGGTCACTGTTATTGTTGTGTGGCCTTCTCTGGACCTCGACTCCTTTTCCGCCTACTTTTGTACGATATTGTGTTGGGTTAATACAGCGATTGACAAAATAATACAAACATCTTTCGAATTCCTGATGGTAAAAAAACTAAAAATGTTCTTAATCAGTAAAAATTTAATTTTATTTAAATGTTAATACATGTATAATCATTTGTTTGGTAAATTTTTGAATAGGTTTCATAATAAATAACATTTATTTTAAAATTTAGATTTGCAGTTAAATGTTACATTTTAAAAGAAATTCCAGAAATTTCTAAATAATGGTAAAAGCAAAGTACCCTTCCCGTGTGACCACAACTGTATGTACTTGTAATGTTTTGAATGTTCGGTACATAAATACATATACAGATTTATGTGTGTATGCAGTACGGACTCCAGACTCCCGGCGAAAGAAAAAAATGTTTACATGTTGCCGACTTTGCCGTTGTTGTTGGTTCTCTGGTGTTGCAACATGAGTTATTTTCGTTGTTGTTTGGTCGTTGTTGTTGCTGGGAATGCTGTATGCAACTCACAAAATATCCCCGTCCATGTCCATTTTCCTATCCTTTGCTTGTCTGCTCTTCGTCGCCTGTTTTTGTTTCCTTTTTTACATATTTTTTGTTTTTGTTCAGCCTTGCCTGCCTTGGCGCGTAAAAACTGGTTTTGAACTCGGCTCGTCTCGGCTCTCTTGCTCCTGTTGTTATTGTTGTTTTCGTTCCAAGTTGATGATGATGATGATAATGATGACGATGTGGTTGTTGTTGCTGGCTCATATAGAAAATGAAAACTTATACGACGAGATCCCCCAATGTGTATCTCGGCACGGAGATATCGGATTCGGACTCGGCGATCCGAGAGACGACTTGTGTTACAGATTTAATCATTATTATACACGAGTGTGTGTGTGTGTGTGTGTATGCCCAGGAATGTTATCCCTACGAGACTTTCAACGGAAAATCAAAGCGCGGGAAAATTCTGGGTTTATATTTGTGTAGGTAGGTAGGTTTGTAAAAGTAAACATTTCTAGATGTTTTGATTTATGCTTAGCTCAGCGGAAGGAATATTTAGAAATCTAGGAAAATAGGTACACTTGTATATATTTATGTACATATTTTGGTTTATGAAATGTTGCATTTTTAAGAAATATTTTCCTGGCTAATATGATTTGTCTGTGTTTAGTTAGTTATGTTACTTAAAACGTTAAAAAAATTAATAACGCTATTGAAAAATAACTGCAAGCTAAACTTAAAAAGTAAATATTTGGTTTTAAATATTCTAAAAATATTTATGTACATTTCTTCTAGATATTTTAACTCTTCTCAATATAATAACTTAGAACTTACGAAAACTCCCTCGCAAGCAGTGCAAAGCAGAGCAAGCAGTTGTCAGAGTGGCGCGAATGTTCTAATATAGCGCTGCACTGCTCTAACCAACGGAAATTACGGTTACAGCTTGGAAGTTTTCCAACACTAGACGAATTTTACTAAGAAACGTGTTTTATTCGCAATTGCAGGACGCAGCTGGGCCCTCGCTGGATTTCTACGTCTCCGACTCAATGCAGGAAATGCTAAATGTGGACATTCGTGCGGAGATTGCCAATGTGGTGGGCAGCTCCAGCAGTGATCTCACCTCGTCCCTGGATCACGCTCTCGAAGCCATATCCGCGATTAACAACAACACCAGCAGCACAGGGAGCAGCAGTCTGCCGGTCTCCTACAATGCCAACGCCAACTTCCTGACTAGCAGCGCCCTTCACGCCTCGCCCACGGCCAAGTGGATGGGCTCCTCGGCCAGCTTCTGGTCGAATTCCGACTACTATGCTGATCTGGGTGCCTGTGTGAATCCCATTTCCGTGATGCCGCTGATAAACTCCACTTCAGGATCGACGTTGGGTTCGCCTCGTCGCAACAAGACAGCCACGTCCGCCCAGGGCAGATCAGGAGTGGTGCCGTCGTCACCGTCTGCAGATCGAGATCATCACAAATCCCACTTGACCTTCTCGCCGGCCCAGATGAAGGTCAGCGCTGGATCGCTGCGCAGGGAGCAGGTAATGGCCCATATACCCAAGCAGATATCCGTGGTCACAGGAACTGGCACCACTGCGCCGGCCACAATGGCCACCAATTCGGCGCTGCAGCGTCGCAACTCGTCGGCCGTGGATGCCGTCCGCAAGGATCTGGCCACAGAGCTGCGCAAGGCTCAGTCATCGAGCCCGGTGCCCAACAACCTGGAGGTGGAGATGGGCAAGGGCAAGGGTGCCACAACACTGCTCACAGCGGGCGGCGGAGGCACCAACACCATTAAGCTGGCACCTGGCATCGGTGGACTGACCTTTGCTAACAGTCCTGCCTACCAGAAACTGAAGCAAACCTCTGTGGTTAAGTCACCCGGAGGCATGTCGCCGGGAGGCATCATCAAGCAGGAGAATGGAAACAAGCGAGGAGGACATCAGATCAGCAGCACCACACCAAAGAGCATCGCTTCGGCGGCCAATTCGCCGCACCATCAAATGCAAAGCAACTGCAACTACAGCCTGGGATCGCCCTCGTCCCTGTCCTCTGCCTCCTCGGCGGCCCTGTCGCCGCTGGGCAATGTGAGCAATCTGGTCAACATAGCGAATAACAACAATACAAATGGAACGGGCCTGGTGAAGCCACTGCAGCAAAAGGTCAAACTGCCGGCTGTGGGCAGTCCGTTCCCGAAGCCAGCGTACTCCTACTCCTGTCTCATTGCTCTGGCGCTCAAGAACTCGCGGGCTGGCTCTCTGCCCGTCTCCGAGATCTACAGCTTCCTCTGCCAGCACTTTCCCTACTTCGAGAATGCCCCCAATGGCTGGAAGAACAGTGTGCGTCACAATCTGTCGCTGAACAAGTGTTTCGAGAAGATTGAACGCCCGGCCACGAATGGCAACCAGAGGAAGGGCTGCCGCTGGGCCATGAATCCCGAGCGCATCAACAAGATGGACGAGGAGGTGCAGAAGTGGTCGCGCAAGGATCCAGCTGCCATACGGGGAGCCATGGTCTATCCACATCACCTAGAGTCTCTGGAAAGGGGAGAGATGAAGCATGGATCAGCGGATTCGGATGTGGAGCTGGATTCGCAGTCGGAAATTGAAGAGTCTTCTGACTTGGAGGAGCACGACTTTGAAGACACCCTGGTGGATGCCATGCTGGTGGAGGAGGAGGAAGAAGAGGAGGCCGGGGAGGAGGACGAAGACGAGGAGGATCACATGCTGAGCGAGTTTGAAGCTGAAGATGAGCATAATTCCCACGCCAGCATGAATCAGTCGAATAACCTGCCCATTGACCACGAACTGCTCGTCCAGAAGCATGGTGACTTTGATATTGAGGTGAGGTCTTGGAATATTATTTGCTTTTGAATTTTGTATTAAATTGTTTTCCCACTTAAATTCCAGGTCGACGAACTGTACGATGCCATCGACATTGAGGATGACAAGGAGGCAGTGCGTCGCCTGATCAACAGCACATCATCGAACATCATTGAACTAAACCCAGCCGATCTGAATGCCAACGATGGCTATCACCACCAGCAGCCGCCCGCCAAGCGTGCTCGCGTGGACATCAACTATGCTATAGGACCCGCTGGAGAGCTGGAGCAGCAGTATGGGCAGAAGGTGAAGGTGCAGCAGGTTGCCCAGCTTCAGCATCAGCCGCCCACCTACAACAGGCGCAAGATGCCGCTGGTCAATCGCATCATCTAGGGAGGGGGCAGAGCCCTCTGAAGAGCCTGCAAGCTGCTGCTCCCATAACATTAAACACTTAGTGCTAGGTTTTTTTTGCATTTAAGGCATCCTTGCTACGCTTACCCCTTTGATTATATCCCCTATCGGATATCGAATATCAGCTTTCAGTTTTCGGTACAATATGTTATTCAATCCCCCCACTTTTTTGGCCGCCGTTTGATTTTAAATCTCGAAGAGCATGAGCGCCGCGCCAGTTAATTTGAATCTTTTTCTCTCTGTAGTCTCCCCTCGAATAAATCTTTATTGATTGTAACACACACACGAATTTCGAGTCCGTTTGCCTGACGCTTGAGCAGAAACTCAATAGGTTTGACGACGCATAAAGCTTGTTAATTATTTTCCATTCGATTAGTTTCCAACTTGATCTCTCTCCACATTGACGAATGAGGGAACAATCCTCAGCTTAAGTAACTAACTTGACAATGCATTTACATGACCTGACCAACGATTCCACTCATGGTCGTAGAATAGTTACAACAACGATTATTTTTGACAACGAAATGTGAACATTAGGTTTATATTTCGAACTTGTTCTTAACCCCTGATTATAACCACAATTTTCAGCCTAAACTTAAGACACGATCACACATTCAAAACAACTTGCCGGTCCAGTATTCGTATGCGGATTTTTATACAAACTTTTTTTGTATGTAATGTACATTATAATTATAAAACACACAAACAATTATTGTTGGAAAGTACAGTCAATTAAATAATACGATTATTGTATTGTAAGGCAATTCCAGTATGTAAATAGTTTTTTACACATAAAGAAAAACTTGTATACTACGCCCGTGTGCATAGCTGTAAGTGTAAATTGTAAGCCAAAAACCGAGAATTCCAAATGAACCGACAAATTACGATCCGTGAAACCAATAAGACTTGAACGAAGCGTGTACCCCGACAAGAAATCAGTCTCAGATTTAAAATAGTACAAAAAGCCAACTAATAGGTTTACGGATGACTATTCAAAAACCAACCCATGGATGGAGACATCATTTTTGTTTTGTTTTTATATCGTTTGCCCCGCATTTTGCTGTTTCGAATCACAGCCCATATTTTTCAACCAACGAACCAACAACATTCATGCATTTCTTGTAATACTAGCATCTAAGTAGCATTTAACCAATTAATTATATATTAATAAATATATTAAGTTTAAGTAAGGCATACTATGTAAATGATTTGGACTAAGAAAGAACAATTTTTGTATAGAGTTGTTAGAAAATCAATTGACAAAGTAAAATTGAAACCAAAAAATAAAAAAAAAGACAAATAAAAAAATAAAAATAAAAAAATACAATTATTTGTAGTTTATAATTTGAGTTGTTTGTGTAAGAATTATTAATTATGATTAAGAGCCAACATTTAAGAAATATGGGAATATGGTAATATGAACTATAGAGTTCGAAATGGTTTCCATAGTCTCTTGGGGCCTTTGAGAATTTAAGACAGAATTAATTCTTTAAAACTCTAAACCTTTTTTACGAGAGATATACGAAATATATGATAACTTTGCAGGTTATTATAATTTCAGACCCTATAAAGTATATATGTATATATTCTTGATCAGCATCAACAGCCGAGTCAGTCTAGACATGTTTGGCAAAAGCAAATTTGTACCAAACTTTTTTCAAAATTTGAGTGGGGTTAGTTACATTGTTGAAATTTAAAAAAAATTACAAACATTTAGATTTTTTAAAAAATTAAAGTTTTTATAAGAATTTGTTAACCCAGAAAAAAGACAAGCATAGAACAGTTTCTTGAATTAAATCTGATTTAAACTTTAATTTGTTCAACAAATTATCATAAAATCCCCTTAAAGATATTTCCGGTCTTCTTGAAGAGTATTTTGATTTTATTTAGTGAAGCAGTCATTTCCGACCCCGTAAATCATATATATTCTTGATCAGCATTGACAGGCGAATCTTTCTAGCCATTTCCGGAAGAAAATTTTTTTTTGTAAATTTTTTCAAAATCTGTAAGGGGTTACATCATTAAAATTTTCAAAAATGACCAAAATTTTTGATTTCTTTAAAAATGAAATTCAGTATGCAGATTTGTTACCCAACAAAAAACTAGCATAAAAAAGCTTACCAAATTAAATTTGGTGAGGTTTTGGCTTAGTTATGACCGATTTATGATTCAATGTCATGATCCTTTGGCATACTGCAGGGTATACAAATTTCGTTTCCCGAAGTTAGTTTTCTATGATATGGGATATGGTTTTTCAAAGGTTTAGATAAGAAGATTATACATATATATATTTTCGTTAAAAATCCTAAAAAGTTTCCAAAAACAAAATAAACTTGTGGTTTAATGCAGATTTTTGAGTCTTCTTTTTCGTTGACAATTTTTATTTCACATACATAAATAGTTTTGACATTTTAAAATTTCAGTTTTCAATGTATTATTTCTTCTTTTTTGTTCAACAACCAATAGAACTTAGGTGGTAGCTAAGCGATTTGCAGTTTGAGCAGAACCAGTTGCCTCCGAAAGGGAGCTCTAGTTATTATCATCGGTTTCTTGTGCCAGACAGAGCATATAGTTCAGATGTGTGTGTAAGTGTGTGTGCTTTACGACTAGACAGTTGGTGACGACATTGCAGAACGTCCCCTTTTTCAGTTGGCTAAAATGCTAGTTACTTGACTTAAAAAACTGGCCTCGTTTGCTGCTGCCAAAATGGCATAAAATACTATTGATAAGCGCCCGACTTTCTCTGTTAAAATACATGCTTTCTCGTAATAAAATGATTCCTTGTAGTTAAAATATACATATACATTTATGTATATATTTATATATAATATATATATATATATATATGGTAAATTGTATTGTTTCCAAATTGAGAGTTGATCTTTGCACATTTAAGGCCTGTTGTTCACTTAGCCTAGGGTTGGGTTTTGAGCCGAGTGTTTCGTTCCCTTTGGATTTGAGCAAGCTGTTTCGATGTGAGCTATAACCTAATACACCTTCCGATCTATCCACCTGAGTGCGAGTGCAGGGTATGTGTGTGTTGTGTGTGCGCCGTGCGCTATATGATATACAAGATCGTGTTTGTTGAAACCAGACAAAACTGATGAAGTTATCGTTAGACACCTGCCAGTTGGGCGTTAATTACAATTACTAATGCACATGTACTTAGAAACTAAATCGTATATCCTACGAATGCAGGATCAGGGCAGACTGGGCCCAGACGAAGCTGGTTTTCTTACCCTGGCCTGCTGCTTGCTGGACGGCTCTTCACTTCGATGCGGGGGCAGTCCTTTACTCGTTAAAGGTTTAGAAAAAGCTCTCTTGGACAGGTGAAGGGATCTTTGGAAAAACAATTTACATCAGGGAAATCTCTATTAATTTGTACTAGTACAACATTTTCTACTAAATATGCTTTAAGTAAAAGGTTTTAAAAAGAATTTTAGTTAATGAAATGTGATTTAAAATAGAAAAAATTATAAGAATCAAGTAAAATTACATTCCCTTGATATTATACCTTTTAAAAATAGTTTTAAAATAGAAAAAAACGAGATAAAAATCAATTAAAATCACATTTCCCACACATCCAAAGAGAGCTTTTTCCTACCTACACAAGTCTCTGGAGTCTGCCTTAAAACTAACCACTTAAATTTCGACTGACTATGCTGGCGGTAGGGGACATGACTTAGGGCTACAAAAACTAACACACGGATATGGATACGGGTTACGGCTACGTTTACGGATATACAACACGCTTTTGACTACTAAATGCAGAGCTGAATGAGCTGGTGACAACGATTACTTGGTACATAAACACTAAAGAACTTCCTCCATTTGACGGCGCCTCATTCCTGCTTCAGTCGCTTGGCCTCGTTGCCCACGTCGCCGCCGCCGCCACTGCTGGCCGAGCTGGGTGTCGTCTGATGCTCCGTGTCGCTGGTAATGTAGGCAAACTGACACTCGAACTCAAAGTCCATGTCCTTTTTCTGTGTTAAATCACACTTTTGCTTTATAAGTTAAACATCAAATCGAATTGAATCTCCTAATGGTCTTACCATTCGCTCGCAAATGACAGCAATGGCAGTCTTGTGCTGTGCCTCGGCTATCTTGTGCTCCACCAGGTAAAACATGTACTCATCGAACAGCAGGCGTATGAGGTGGAAGCTGCCAAAGCTGGAAGCGGAGCGGAGTGTCAGGTCCCGGATAATCATTGAGCTGTAGAAGCTCCACTTGAGCAGAAACTGGCGGGCGGCTCTGGCATAGCTGGGCTTCCCATTGTACTCCTCCATGGCGGACTCCACCACCAGTTGAAGCCAGGTGGCCCATTGTTCCAAAGAGCTTTGTTGCTGTAAAGCGGCCTTGAAGTCATTCTCCAGGCGCTGTACCACAGCGGGAGCACACTGACTCACCCAGGCTGCTTGCTCCTGTTTGGGAAATATTAATAATCTCGATTTTATATTGTATTTGTCTAGGGAAAACCCACCTGAACATTATGGAAATCCACTCGGTTGAGATCACTGAGCATCTGAGAGATTTGGGCACCATTCTGGAGCACTGCTCGAGCGGCCTGCGCCAGATGATTCAGCGAGGTGTAGCGGCGTAGGGTTTGGCAAAAGGCCGAGACGGCACTAGTCTTGATCTGAGCCAACTGCTCTGGCACGCCCATCATGCTCTCGCACAGCCAGATCTCCAGATTCTTGGCAAAGTTGCGAATGGCCTGGGTCAAGGCGTTGGGTATGGAGCGGAGGACATCCGGAATGATGACATCGACGGTGTTTTGATAAAACTGATAGTCAACCTGGTTTGGAAGAAAAATTCAAATTTTTAAAATATCTTTCGTTTGTGAAAACCGGAACACTCCAAGTCCGATTCCCCTTGCTCCCTACTCCTTCCCTCACCCTATACCCACCTCTCGCACAAACTTTTGCACTTCTGCGCAGTGGCACAACAGATACAGCTTCGTCTTGCTCAAGTACTTCTCCTCCTCGCACTCGTCCAGGTTGTTGTTGTCGCTCGCCCGCCAAAAGTCGCGCAGCAGAAACTCTACGGTGCCAAATTCCAGGTTCAGCACGGCGTCCAGGAAGGACTCACAATGCTCGCGATACAGAGCACGGAATGTATCCACATCCTCCAGCGTTAGTTCGCTATTGAAGCTATGGCTCAGCTCGATGGCCGGGAACGAGGGCAGGGCACTGCTTCCATCGCCAATGTACTGGGGATTTGAAAGGGATTTAAAGAGGGAAAGGAAATCAATAAATAATTGGTTTCAGTTTGCAGTTTTATATTGGGGAATTTAAATTATTACTTTAAGATGAGTTATCCACCTAGACAAAACCTAAAACCTAAAATCCCCTCCTAACTTCCTGAAAACTCCACTTTCTAGCATTCTTAGAACCAACTTTTCGATCCTCACCTGTAAGCAAGCCTCATAGGTCTCCGGCTTAAAGGTGTGCTTCTTGGTGCCGCTGTGTCGCTGTCCCTGGCCACCGCCCAGACCATTAGAGCCCATTTGGCCGGCGGTACTGCTGCTTACGCTTACCAGGGCTCCGCCACTGGATCCGCCGCCGCTAGATCCACCAGATGATGGCCCATAGCCAGAGCCCAGCATCTGCTTGTCGTCCATCGTTTGATGATTCAGCAGCGAGCCGGGCTTGATGCGGATGCCATAGTAATGGTACTTGGAGTTGCCGCGCGTGCCCAGGCGACGTGTGCGCAGGCCGGAGAACACCGAGCGTATCAGCTTGCCGAAACTGGCTGCATTCACGGGCTCCAGCTTCTGTTCGCTGCAGTGCTGCATGTAGTGGTTGTACAATGTACTCCTGGGCAGGCTCACCCCGTCCGCTGTCTCGTAGTTGCGCGACAGCCACTTGATCTGGCGCGACAGAGCGAAACAGAGAACGAGAAAAAGAAAGAGAGGGAATTCTGTATTGGGGGATGCTGTCCGTAGGGCGTATCCATGGATGCACTTACCGTTGCCGAGGCAATCTTGTTGCTGCTACCGAGCGCACTCTGCTCCGAGTCCGGGGAGGCACCGCCACCGCCGGTGCCCAGGCTGCCGCCGCTCGCCGAATGCGTTGTGGTCGTCGAGGTGGGCGTCTGGGGCGTGCTCTGCGCCTCCTGAATGTACGCGACCTCCTGCACCCAGTGGCGATTAGTTCCGTTCACGTTCACCCGCTCTGCCTCCCCATCATCCCGCTCCCCCCACTCCCGACTACTCACCGTCAGGCTGTGCGGCGAATCGCGTCCATGCGACTGTGACTGCGACTGGGATTGTGCCTGGGACAGCGAGTGTGCGGAGCCATTGAGCAGCAGGCCCTCCTCCACCGGCACCAGGTACGGCAGCGTTGTGGAGTGGGCCCCATTTGAGGAGCCGCCCGCCGAGGAGGTGGCTCCGTACTGACCCGTGGTCGAGTAATACGCTGTTTGGCCGTTGCCCTGGTAATCGCCAACCGGGCAGAATGGATACGTCCTAAAATGGATGAGGGGCGAGATGAGGGAATAGAGGGAACAGGTTAGGTCGATTCACTCATTCATTTCAAACAACTGCAGGATCTAAACTTACATTTGTGTCTGGCTGGAGTTGCTGTGATACAACTCCGAGTCCACATATTGCACTTGGTAGTTTTGCTCCTGTCCGGAAACTGGAAGATAATTAAGGAAAGAAATTATTAATACTAGAAACCAGGCTAAAAAAGGCAAAAGCTAAATAAATAAAGTTATAGTTAAAAACAGCATAAACTTTGAATATATTATAATGGTTTTTATACAATAAACTTAACTTAACTTCACATTCACTTGGCTATCACCAAATTGTCACTACGTTACGAGTAAATAAATTTATATCCGACGGCAACTTGTTATATTTTGTCAGCGTTAAATAATAAGAACAATTCCCTAAATTCTCATTTCACCTACTGATTTAAAGACTTAAGCTTACTAGTAATTAAATAATTACATACGCACTCGCACAGGCACATATTACGTATCAATACCTCAAAGGAAACCTTTCACCCTTTGTAAAAACAGTTTACTTAACATAAAACCACAAACTTTAAACAGAAATAATTGAGAAGACTTTCCCCTGTAAATAATTTTGATTCAATCAACAGAAGGAAGTCTTTGGTTTGTCAATTCATTGATAAAGACACTAGACACTCCCATTGGCCACATGCAATGCAGCAGCAGCAGCAGCAGTAGGAACCTCCTTGTTACACTACAAGAAATTAAGATGCCTTTGGAAATGAATTTATGAAGAAATATGGAACAATTATATAAAATTCCTAAATGATGAATATAATTAAAGCAAATTTAAGAAGAAATACATTAAGTTGTTTATAAAGTTTTGTAGGGGAAAAATAAGAAAAATCACTACAAAAATTTCCTTTTTTTAAGAAAAATGTTCCACAAAGTCTTGCACGTTTTGTTATTTAAATTCATCTCAAAATTTCCCGCTGTGTACACACAAAGTTCACAATTTCACAAACACCAAGATGTTGCCTTTGGAATCTTAATTATAGGTCCAAGTTTCAACGGAAACCGAGAGGATTGAAATGGCAATAAGAATAGACAGTTGCAGATATTTACCACCGCAGTAGGACAAGTTGTTGTGGCGTCGATGATGATGATGGTACATGGTGGCACTGGTGGCCGATCCACCCGCCGACAGCACCGAATTGCTGGCTCCAGCAGCTGTGGCGCAAGAAGCAGAGGCTGAGGAGCACGCACTGGCTCCACTAACCGTACTAGTGCCCGTTCCCGCTCCAATTCCAGAGCAGTTGCTATAGCTGGCAGCTGTGGCAGTGGCCACGAAAGTCTGGTGGTGATGGTGGTGGTGATGATGATGCAGCTGCAACTGCAGCTGGGCGGGCGGCGGTGGTACGGGCGCCACGGAATTGGTGGCCACTGGTTGCTTGCACCGACACTTCTCCAGCAGATTGGAGTAGGCCACGGCAGCAGCAGTTGTGGGGCTGAAAGCTGGCGGGGCAGTCGCTGACTGGAACTGCTGGTGGTGCTGGAGCTGGAGCTGCTGCTGTTGCTGCTGCTGGTGCTGCTGATGGTGGTGGGGATGGCGCGTTTGGCAGTCAAAGCCGTACCGCGAATGCATTCGTTTGGCCGGAAGTTGATGAGCGAAGAGGCTACTAAAATTTGGTGGCTTCTAAACCCAGCGGGGTAGCTGATCTTAGAGGTTATCAAATGATCGAGGAAATTGGGTGTTCCGTTAGGGTGGGTTTAAGATGTGGCAAGGGGTTTTCAATGATTTTCAAGAACACTCCACACATGACAGAAGTACATTAGTTGAGTTTTTTAGAACAGATACTAAGTATATGGCGTAGAGTAGGATCAGGAACACGAAGCATAAGTTAAGAAACTTCTTATAATAATTTTAATATCCATAGGAGTCCAAAAGAATTAGGTTTCAGAGTTCAGTATCCAGGATATTTTGGTCAAAAGAATGATTTGCAATGATCCAATTTAGAATGTAGTATTTAAGGTTTAAGAACTCCAACATCACTGTCCAAGGATGTGTTACTTATGGCCTCGATGACAATTTTCAATATCAGAATTGTTCAAAATATAAAATTCAGATTTCTTTCAAAGAATTATTCCTTAGCTTCCAGGCTCAGGTTTCTCCTTCCAAAAGTATATTGAAATCCAGAGATAATACTCCACTTAAATCTTTATGAGTTAATCCAAAAATGAGTTCCATATAGATGACAATCCATAGGTTATTCCAAAATGTGTATTCCAGGAGTAGAGTTCCCAAATGAATATTCCAAAATCAAAGTCCTAAACTGGCATTTAAAGTTTCAACAATGTAGATTTAATAGTTTCACTATCGATCTCCAACGAGGTGCATTGAATAAACTTGGACTGGGAATCCAAGGGTGGTGTAAGCGGAGAAGCCACCTGGTTGCTTCTGGCAACCACTGGCCAAAACCGGCTCAGAAAGCGAAAGTGAAATCCTTGGCCAAGCAACCAGTCTCCATTCAGATTTCTCCTTCAATCTGTGGGCGGCGCTCTCTTTTGGCGTTTTGCTTTTCCGTTTTCCGTTTTGGGTTGCGATGGAGGAATATCGTGGACCGGATGCCGGATGCTGGATGACGGATGGCGTGGAAACGGAGCAACCAGTGCCTGCGAACGGTAGAATTACAACTGAATCCAAAATCAAATGTTATCCTAGCAATATGCCTCCGAAAATAATGATGATGGCGAAAACTCACGACGACGACGGCGGCGCAGCAACGAATTAAATTACAACAACGGCGGCGGCGGCTGATGCTGCTGCTTCTGCTTTCTGTCTTGGTGGTTGGGTTGCCGGGTGGGTGGTTGCTATTATGATCCGGGGTGCCCGTAGCGAGTAATCCAACCCAGACCCTCGAACAGGTCGCCCCTGCCTCACCACACCGCCTGCGCCTGCTTCAAGCGGTGTGCCTGGCTAATTCCGGGCTCAAAGTCGCATTTTCTGGGATCTGCACAAGTGGTGGTCGAGGCTGGTGTGGATTCGGGGGATGCTTCTGGATGCTGGATATGCGAGCGGGATGGCAACAAAGCAACGACAGGGTGACGACACCAAGGCAACGCCGCCTGGCCAATCCCACTCCTCATCGGTTGCTAGGCAGCCACTCTCTCTCTTTCTCTCTCGAGAGCTCTCCGTCTCTCTTGTGCTCAGCAACCCCTGGAGCAGGATGCTGAGGGATGTGTATCCTGGCCAACCAAATCGCTGGCTGCCATTCCTCCTAAGTGCGGCGGTGTGAGAGGTGAGTTGTGGGTGTAACCAGGGGCCAGAAACAGAGTGAGCAGAAATATGGATGCCCGTTGGAGTACATTTTTGTGAAGATGTGAGATGTGTGGGTGGCATGCGTGGAATTTTTCCATATTTTCCTCCGTGGTCGGGTCAGAAATTGACGTATTTTTTTCTGTCTGCCTTTCCTGCTCCCTAGCCTTTGTACCGTTTTCGTTGACACGGACATATTTCACATATTAATTTTGACTCTCCTTTCGGTGGGTCCTTGTCAGCGAGTCCTGAAGTTGCTGCGGTCAGCTCTGCGGGCTATATCCCTCCATCCTGACATCTCCATCATTTCCCATCCTCCGCAGAGTTTTCCCTTTGACGCGCTGCTACTGCTGCAAACTGTAAATATTAACAGGTGACCCTCGGGGCTAACTTGGCAATTTGCAAGTGAAACGGGGAGGCTGGAACAAGGGGTTTGGCTTTGGGTTGAGAAAATCAAGCCGCAGGACCGTTTGCACTTTGACATTTGTCCTTTAAAGTTGCCAAGGCAGAGGAGAGGGTCGGTCTCTCGTTTGAGGTGCCTTCAAGTGGACCGCATTCTCGCCAAAACATTTGGGCTCTCAATGACTTTGGTTTGCAGTGCAAAAGCTGTTTTCCTTTCGTAATTGCCTTTTGGAATAGACCAAGATTGAACTTTTAGCAGATTGAAGAGCAAGTTGTGAAGGGTGAAGGAAAGCCGCTCAACTGGAATGGATCTTCTTGGCCATCGAAAGAGGAGGGAGAAGAATGAGGATTATATAGCTTAATTTTACATTTGAAGAAGAAGTCTAATTTGAATAGCATTTTTGTAAGAACTATGTATATTCTAATATTTGAATTAAAGGAATTTGCTGTCACTAGAATGGTCCTTAAATTGTAAGGATGCTCTAAAGCCCAAAAGTGCCTCAAGGAACTTTTTATATAATTAGATCTTTTTAGGAAATTGTAAGCATTTGTAAGTAAATAATGATTGTATGTTTATTATTAACATATAAAATTATAATTTGAATAAAGAATTTGAAGTAAATGTATCCGTAATATTCATATTTAAACGTTAAATGCGATATTATTCAATGTTTAAATATTCTAAATATGAAAGTTTAAACTCATTTCGATCTTTCGAACTTTTACTATCGATTATAAATATATATAATTATAAATTTTAGGTAGAATCGTTTCTGTTGACGAATCAACCAACCTTTGGACATATTTTCTACCAAAGATTAATCTTCAAATTATTATTTGACAATAGAAAGTTAACCACTAATGAAAACATAAACTATCTCCGATAGATCAAATTAAGTTAGATTAACTTTCCTGATATTTCGGGTTGAAAAGGTTTATTGCAATACATCCTCTTGTGTGCTATCTGCGCCACTTGTCCAAATTCCCAGCTCCTAAACGCCACTCCTGAAGCACACAGCTGAGCAAAAATTGCCAGGATAAGGGATAACAGACAAGTGCAGCACAAAGTAAATATTGGGAGGCGAAGGCAGAATCCCAGCTGGCTGGCTTATCCCATCCTGAATCTATCCTGCTACAACGTCAACAAACAATTAACCTTTTTGTGAGCCGGTCACTCACTCGCAGGGATGAGCTGCAACTGGATGGGGTTAAAGCCGGAGTCAGAGTTGAGTCCTCTTTGTAGGGCTTCAGTGGCGTGATTCCTCCGGCAAGATAGCATTCAGCCAGAATTATGAACTGCGACGATGACGACTCGCTTTGACAAATAAATAAAATAAAATTTGAGCTTATCTTGATTGCCAGCAAAGCTCGCACAAATAACTTTTTGTTTGGCACAATTAAAAGAAGCCCGCCATATGCGGCAGTTCCCTGGCTAGCTAGGAGTCTTTAAGGAGTTCCCACCCACATTTGGCCAGCGAGCCACCTGGCCAATCATCGCCCAACCACTCCAACTGGTACGGATTCCCGTTTTGTACTTTTCTATTTTTAGTGGCTCTCTTTCCCGTTATTAAACGTTAAGCTCGTCATCTTCTGCCTCGTCGATTCGATGAGCACCCAGCACAAATCCGTATCAATTGAAAAATACAATAAAACATGTATTCGTGGAAGGTGGAAGATATATACTATAGCATAAGCGCTTCCCCTTCCGAGCTCGTTCATTGGAAAACACCCACAACCGGATAGAAGCACGAATACCCTTCAACAGAGGAGATATGAAACAGATTCCGCATCAATTTTAATTTAGAATCAAGACACTCGGAGAAAAATATAGTTCAAACTATAAATATAAATCATAAAATTCAACAAAATATATATATTTAATGTATTGATTTTTAAATAATTAATAAACTAATATTTCAAGCATTAAACGAAAGTTTATTAAGTTGTAAGTTATCATAATATTTGGTAGCCTTTGCTGGCGAAGGCAAAACATTTCGATATATCGATTTTGAATCGATATTTATAAAAAAAATCGATAATTAAATTCAAATTTTAATATTGCTATATATCGGTATTCTTATTGATAATATTGGTGGTTAAAAACTAAATAAAATAAGTTATAAATTAATGAATTATTATAAACCTAAATGTCGATAAATTTTCCCGCAGTGTTACAAGTTCGTGAGCCTTTTATCGCACAGGAAGGTATTAGTTGACAGCGGGCGGTTATTAGCGAGTCGTCGACTCATCCACGTGAGCACCAAGGACCTTCCCACACCCATTTTTATCCACTCCCCTTGCCCATTCATGCACCGTGTGAAGCCCTCTCAATTTGTTGTGATTACCCGATGATGTTGCCATCCGGATTGGGATTGAAATGATATGCCCTCCTGCTTGTCCCCTTTTTCCGTGTCCTTGTTGGTGGTGGTAATTTGCGCTAATAAAATCAAGTACGTGGGCAAACATGCGCCCTCGTTTCGACCCTTTTCTGTCCGGTGTGTCCGATATTTTGTTAGATAGTTGCGAAGCCGCGGCGAAGTGTAATCTCGATTAATTCATTGTGCGGCGCTCGAGTGGAATATAATAATTATGTGTGCGCACCGGAGGATATAGCGCCCGGGTTCCGAATTCCGAATCCCAATTTCAAGTTCCAGCTGCACTTTGCTTCTTTGTTGCTTTTTGTTGCCTTGCACGTGGCTCTCGGTTGGCTGGATGCCGTGCCGTGTCGTGTGTCCTACGGACAGGTAGTATCTGCCATTATCCTCTGCGGGGTGTGTGCGCCAGATAGTCAGATAGTCGTACCCATCCATCTGTCTAACCACCCAACCAGCCAGGCAGCCAGTCAGTCACCTATTCATCCTTGGTGCGTTTCAGTTTTCAAATTAAGTCGCTTTAATTGTGATATCAGGCAAACGTTTAAAATACGCCCGATTTTAAGCTGGTCCTTGTTTCCAGCTCGGCCCTCACTCCTCCTCCTCCTTCTGTGCCCCATCCCCCGGGGACATGTTGATCCTGTCATTATGTTTGTTTACAAAGCCGCGACTTTTACTGTTTGTTGTTTCCCGTTTGCTGGTTTCCGCTTTGATTTCCCGCCCACTGGCAGTGATTTGAGGATTCCCCGGAACCAGGAGTTTCTGTTTCGGGTCCGGATTTGGCTTCATCACCCCGTAAAAAATCGGTAACGCGAATCGTACGCTGTACGTTTTTTATACGGCCCTGCAGTTTTTCTGCTCATTAAAAATAAAAGAAGTGGCATCGCAATTGATTCTTATCCATTCAGTTTTCGCACATGTTTTGTTTTGTTTTCGAAACAGCGAGTTTTTAGGAGATAGGAGATTTATGGAGATGGGCATCTGTTAATTGGTCTTCGTTAAGGGGATTAGTTACAATACTTGCAACTGGTAGCGTGAGAATTTAGTTGAAATATTTTAAGGGGAATATGGCAAAATGTACAGTTGTTTCTTGTCAAAGTTTTTAATCGTTAAACAATTTTGTAGTGGCACGCGTGTAATAATTAAAACCCACTTAATCTGCGTGTGACACATTTAAATGTTTTTAGTTAATTTTTTTCGACGTAGCTTTCAAAGACTTTGAGATTTAGGTACCTTATACCGACTGAAAAGCAAATGAATATGCCTAAATCGACTCGCCTGATGAGCCTAAGTTAGAATTTAAAAACTTTAAAGGGTCGGAACGGACAGTTTTTGCTTGATGTCAATGAATATCGGTTAAAGAAATAAATTTTGTATCGATAAAATTTTATATACAAATAAAATTGATCGATTTTAAGCTGATTAGATTGATTTCTGTATCATATTCCACTAAAACTTGTCAATATAAATTAAATAAAATTATTTTCCTATAACTTAAATCAGATTTCTGTAATATATTCAAACAAGACTTCTTAAAATATATCATATTTATGTATAATAATTAATTTTCTATCGAGAAAAT